GAGACACTCGACGACTGTAAGCACTTATAAGAAAATATCGAATATTTTCTTAAAAGTACAACATATTGAATATTAGTATAAAAATCACATAATATAATTTTTTAATGGATACATAAATTTAAAATTGATAAAAGATATTGACCCTTTATTTATTATAAATTATAGACCGTTGAGATTAACATGAGACGGAAAGGAACAACTAAACAAAATCAAATTAGTCTAGAAGCTGGACCATTAAATCTCCTTATTGTATTGACAAGTATTGAGTTTAGTGGCTTAAAAACAGAGCCACCATGCAATTGGGTGGGTCCTGAGACTTAACTCTAGATTAGGATAAAAAATAACAATATTTGTACACCGTTCATAATAATCGACCCAGTACTTTATGTTTATGGTTTTATTTATCTATCGATAAACTGTAGAGAGTTTTGTAACACACATTAATCTTGAATATTATATATATATAATTTTAGATCTTACTTAAAAATGTGTTTAATTAAAGTTTACTAATTTCTAAGCTAACATTGAATTCTCCATCCTCTAACAAAATTCTGTTGACAAATTATGAATAACCGTCATGAATGATTTAACCGATCGAGAGCCACGTAGAGGTCGAGATATTGGAGAAAATTAGAAAGCTCCTCTGTTCTTGTGTTTCTTCAGATGGTGGTAGCTAGATGATCAAATACAGACACAATGATCAAAAGTAGAAGAGAGAAGAAAAAAAAGTGCACCAACCCTACTATTTTTGGTAGGGTCAAAAGTCATATAGTATGGGGATTAAATTTCTCGATCGTATTCTAGAGAGGTAAGAAGAAGAAGAAGTAGGAGAGAAAAAACCCGCCATGAAACAGAGGGTGGTGGAGGTCGCTGTCTTACTGACTGCTCTTTTTGCTGTAGGTGGTGTTAGTGGATGGATGATGGTGACGGTAATGACGATGAAGTCGTTTGGTTAATAACTTTTAGTTTGATGAGGACAACCCTCCTCCTACCATCCATCCAGTCGAGTCGAGGCCATCGCTCTCTTCTTCGCCAACCGATGGAGGAAAAAAATGGCACCGGTCATAATTACTTTTTTTAGTTTTTAAAATAGTTTCTATCACCTCAACGGGCTGGAGAGTAGTGACCAATTTTGGTTCCCATTTATTTTTACCTATGGCCTTCTTTTGGAGGACGCTCTTTCTAGAAAATGAGAGTGGGACCCTACCAAAAACTTTTACTCGAAGTAGCTCAAAACTCTTTCAACAGTTTCCATTGCAACTGGTATTTTTGGAGGACATGCACAATATGTTTAGATGGTTAATAATCCTAATTTATATATGGCTTAACCTTAGACAAAAATAAATTTGTAAAACTTGTCCTATTATTTTGGAAGGATATTGTTCGAGTTCTCGATATACACTAGTGCGCCTAGTGAGTACGTATTGTGCATGTCCTCAGGCTCAGAGCTTATCTTTTTCATTCTCGATCAGGAAACATTGCTTACCAATATTTCTTGTATTTTGTTCACCAAAAAATTTGTAGATCCAATAGATAATGATGAACTCGTTTCTTCTTTCCAAAAAAATTCAAAAGCGAATTAAAAACGAAGAAGATACTATTTGGTATGCAGTTGGTACCGAGGCCCGAATTTTTTTCCTCAAAAAATATTGAAAATGGATCTCATTTTGTAGAGCACAACGAACTCGTTCCATCTGTATAAAAAAATTGAAATCCAAGTTAAAATGAAGAAGATATGAGTCGATTAAGTAAACAAATGAAAAATAAAAAGACCTTTAATTCTTCTCTTAAATCTGGATTTTCTAAATGAAGGGTTCAGATTTAGTTACTGTTTGGTGTATAACCCATAATTATGCAGTGTATCTTGAGTTGAGCCGTGAGCATGGGGAACAGATCAGGTCAGTAACTCAACGGTCAGTAACCATGAGTAACCTGTCCACATCAGCATGAGATCAGTATTATCTCTCTCCTAAAAAGTCTTTTATCTTTTCCTCTTTAATCTTTAACGGACGATTTCTCTCTCGTTTTAAGTCGAAATTTAATTTTTTTTGCACAGATAAATCAGATTAAATGTGCTCTTTAAAATGATATCCACTTTGATATATTTTTAGTACAAAAAAAATTGAATAATTTTTTACCAGTCATTACCATAAGATATGCTCCTATTTAATACCATATGGTAAGAAAGCGTACCATGATAGTATGAACATATCAATATGGTAAGAATGTTGAATACATGATAGTAGGAGTATACTAAGTATCATTTACGACTTTCATCATTGTTTACTACAAGTTATCACAAGTTACCACCCACATACCATAGTGGTAAAGTATGATAATTTTTTATCCAATATTTTTTTCACCCATAAATTTATAGATCCAATAGATCAATATGGTAAGAAGGTTGAATACATGATAGTAGGAGTATACTAACTATCATTTACGACTTTCATAATTGTTTACTACAAGTTATCACAAGTTACCACCCACATACCATAGTGGTAAAGTATGATAATTTTTTATCCAATATGTTTTTCACCCAGAAATTTATAGATCCAATAGATCATGATGAGTTCGTTCCTTCTGAGCAAAAGTTTTCAAAAACGACTTAAAAACGAAGAAGTTACCATATGCTATGTAGTTGGTAAAAAAAAAGTTTCTCGAAATATATTGAAAATTGATTTCATTTTGTAGAGCACAACGAACTCGTTCCATCTATGCAAAAAAAAAAAAAATTAAAATCCGAGTTAGAACGAAGAAGATAAGAGCCAATTAAGAAAATCAGGAAAAATAAAATACCTTTAATTGACAATCTTTAAATCTAAATTTTCTGGACCCACTTAGATCTAAAGATCCCGATTTAGTTACTTATAAGTCAGTAACCAATGGTTACTGACCCTATCCTAAGCCGTGAGCATGTAGCAGGCTCAGAGCTCATCTGTTTCCTCAGAAAAACCAAATACCACCGTCGGTGCCGAATTCGTTTCCGGCGATGTTGATTTGATGTTTCGCGGTGGAAACTCTTGCGGTGCCGTTTGATCGACTGCACCGCTAATTGCTGAAATCGAGACGACCGTCAAATATCCACCGCCGAATGTCGGCGCCGTTGATTTGATCGGTGCACCTCTGACTTCTAATCAAGAACGACCGTTACTACGGTTCGCACCTCTCCAAACTACGTTCGAACGAGGGTGTTTGAGTTTTGAGGAATCTACGCTACCGCTACTCCTATGGAGATTCCTGTGGAGAGCTCCGCGACTACGACTACTTCTACCAACTATGGAGATCCTTCCTGGAAGGAGAGCTCCGCAAGGGAGTTACAGAGAAAAAGATAAGTTTGACAGAGTTGATCTGTGTTGATTTGGTTGTCCCTTCTCTCTCCTTGCTCCACTGCTTTTATTCGAAAAACTGCTTCGTAGTCTTCACGCTCGGTGGAACCGCTTCCTTAACTGCTCCGTTGTGAAATCCCACGTGTCTCAACCGCTTCGCTCCTCAAACTGCTTCGCGTGAACTTTACGTGAGTTGTTTTCATGATCCCGCGATGTCGTTTCCTTTCCCAAACAGCTCCGCTTGATTCTACCCGCGACATCGTTTTAATATTAAACGACTCCGCTTCCAGCCTTGCGATGTCGTTTTCTTTCCCAACCAGCTCCGTTTGTTTTTTTCTTCCGCGACACTGTTTATTATTAAACAATGTCGTTTGCTAGTATAGCGGTACCGTTGGGCTTCCTCGCGGTACTGTTTTTAATTCCGCGACACCGTTTTAGCTCTCCTCGGTGCCGCTTCCTCCAATCCAACAAGGAAAAAATAATAATTAATTAGAGAAAACTCCTTCTCCAATACCCACGCGCGGCCCTTTTGTTTTCCGGTAAGCGGTGTCGTTTGCAGTACCGCGGCACCGCTGAGCTTCCTTGCGGTACCGTTGTAGTTCTCCGCGGCGCCGCTCGACTCCCAACGATACCGTTTTTTACGAGCGGTATCGACTTAAATGCCAAGACTAATTAATGCGGCATTTAATTCCGGCCAAATTAATTTTAGGTGTCAACATCATCTCAATTCATTCTCGATTAGGAAACATTGCTTGCTATGTTTGTCCAATTTGTAGTAGTATATTACGTGAATGTTATGGAACAAAAACGAATACACGTAACATATGATATAATAGCAATCTTGTTGCGTTAAACTATTTTTTAATTACGTTCAAAAATAAAAGTTTGCTAGAAGACAAAAAGAGGTACAACCGAATTAGAGTGGGACAGCCTCCTCCGACATCGTATCACATCAAAGCATACGCAAGAGGAAGGCGGCATTCCAGAAATGCAAGGTGGGCCCCGCAGCGCTTATCCACTGAGCTGACTGAGTCAGATCCTAGTTGGGGTTTGATCGGTTTGGGTCACACACGAGTACTAGTCGTGTTCACGTGAATTCTCACCACCGACAATAACCCCAAACCATACAAGCCTCCGCCTAATAATGCCTTGGGGTCGGGATGTCAAACTTGTACATTCTTTCTATTTTCCAACCGCATGTTAGCTTGAATTCTCTCCCCCACCCCCACACATCTAAATCACAGCGTTTTAAGCGCGTTCCAACTAGGGATGGCAACCGGCCGGTTTCGGTTTAATCGAAAACCGAAAACCGGTTATCGGTTAAACCGAACCACCCCCTCTACCTGCCGACCACCGACCGTGAGAGTGGTCACGGTTAGCCGACCAACTGACCGGCCGTTTCGATTTTAGGCTCGGTTAGCCGACCAACCGAAAAACAACCTTTAAAAAAAAAAATTAAAAAAACCAAAAATTCTGCACCACTCACTCCTAAGTCCTAACCCCTCACACTTCTCGATTCTTCTTCTTCTCGATTCTTCCTTCTTCCTTTTCCGGAAAAATATCTCTCTCCCTACTCTCTCTCGAATCTCGATTCTCTTCCCCAAAAGGAACCCTAAAAACAACTAATCTCCGGAACCATGACTGTGGACTCCTCCATCCCGTCGAACCTCGATGACTACTCCGCAACCTCCACAATCGTCCTCTTCGACCGCCCAATCCCCCTCCTTAGGGGTCCGGTATCCGCCGGTCGACCCGACAACCCATCGCTCGGCCCGTACGTTCTCGCCTTCAGAAACCCCCAATCCTGGGCCGCCGCCTACACCGCCACCGAGTCAAAGATCGTCGAGCAGTGCGAGGGCGGGGCTCGGGTCGGTTGCGCCTTGACGGCGTCGAACAATTGCAAGCCCCTTGGTGGAGCAATTTGGTCGGCAGCGGGCCCAGCGCTGCGGACCTGAAGGAGAGGGAGGAGTGCGAGCAGCGGGAGATGGAAGAGTGCCTGGCGGCGGCGAAGGAGAAGTGCGCCGGTTTCGCGAGGGAGAAGTGCCGGATTCCGTTTAGAGAGGCGAGGATCGCGGTTGGGCTGCCGGAGAGGGCGAGGGCGGAGATGGGGAAGAAGTTGGTTGGAATTGGGGCTGGGGGAAGGGGTCGTTTTGGGTAGGGCTGTGGGGTCGTCGGTTAGCCGGTTATTGACCGCGGTTAATCGGCTAGCCGAGGCTCTCCCCCGGCAACCGACCGACGCCAATACAGAGCGGTTTTCAGTTAGCCAAAAACCGGTCGGTTCGGTCGTAACCGACCGGTTAAATGCTAACCGGAAACCGTTCTGCCAGCCCTAGTTCCAACCCTTATTCATTAAACACATTCGAGGAATGGAAACTCGTAAACTACAACCAATGTATAAATTCAGTCAACATTGTGTTCTAATTTACCCAGAGTACACGATTAGTATATTGTTGGCTTCTTCTTTGCCTCTTCCCTTTTAGAAACAGTCATGGATACACATGGAGGACATATATTTCTATGAGAATGGGGGAATAGCAGCATACAGTCTATAGATGGGTTTCTTGGCGGATCGACAAATGAAGTCGCCGCCGCGTCAGGACAGTAATGGTGAAGCAAAAGACGAAGACAGCAGTCTTGCACAAGAAGAAGGATAAAAAAAAAAGGTAAGTAGCTAGGGGCGGTGTTAATGCACTGCCTGCCGGCTGCCGAGTCTTGAGTTGAGACAGAACGGCCGGACCGAATCTACGCCGAACAATAACTTAATTACCTGCCTGCTGCTGCACCGTCCTTGGCTTAATTAGCTGGATGGAATTAAAAGTAGCAGGAGCCGAATTAATGTAATCAGACTGCAGGTCTTAATTCATTGACTCTGCTAGGCATTACTTGTTGGGCACCGCCTAAATTAAGAATATTCAGCTCCTCTAAACCAAGTAGGTGTATCATGATGAATTTACAAGCAAATTCTAAGGTTCAATGAATTTCAGGCGTATAAGATGTTAGGCTCATTTTTGTATACAAATTTTAAGGTTAAATATATTTAGCATATGCAACCATTCTACACTATAATATATTCATACTACCATGATAATTTCCATATCACAATGGTATAATCTTGTGTACTACCAAGAATTACTATCAGGACATAAATTGATAATATATATCTCGATATTTTTTTAAAAAATATATATCAAAGTGTATATAATTTTAGTAGCATAATTAATTAATCCAATTACTCCACAAAAGAGATATAACACATTGAAATTAATGGCAAAAAGATGGCTGCCCTTCCACTCTTTTGTGTAAAGATTTTTTGCGACTTTTGCTAGATTGAGAAATTGTATTTTCAAGGAAAGAAGAAGGAAGAAAACTTATTATTGTCCAAACAGGTAATTATTTCTTGTTCAAGTTTTACACGTTCATCCATCAATTTCTTCTAACATTCGACGCATCTTCTTTACTAAAAGGTTGCATATTTTCAGTTTCTGGATTGAATACTATGGTGGACATTTTCTTTTTGTGTAAGCCTCTTTCTGTAGCTTTTAAATTTTACACCTTTATGTAACTAATGTTTTATATCCAGCACATTTTCTTTACTAAAAAGTGGTATATTATCCATCCTATTGAACAAACACATAAGATTTTTTTATAATTTATTTATTTATTTGAGTGCTACTGCATCAAAATAATGCAATCTTAATTACTAGGGGACAAATATTTGGAAACTCACTCCATTAAATTGATCACCCCGTTGAGAGTTTTTAACCTTCATGACAAAATTTCCAACACGAACATATTGAACTGAACATTTTTTTTATGCAAATACATCTCACATAAGAACATGTCATTTAAACAAAAATGCATTGAGACAAATACCATCAATTTGTAAGTACATTGAATCCTGAATAAATTATCTTAAACTCTTGAATCAACTTATCCTATCAGAGATAAACAAAATTTGATTAATTAGCATGTGACAAACCCCCCACCTAATTATTTCGTCCTAGCTAGATGAGCAAATCCAGCTTTGTTGGATGTATGTTCTTGGCATTAGATTCTCTTTGCATTACAGACACCTAAACAAGGTCAGGCACAACCGCGCAATCAGTAGAACACTATAATATGAATCCAACCAAATACGTCTTATCAAATAAATATCAACTACTTTTTATATTTTAAACACTCTTGTCTGGCGATTGACGAATCCAAAGAAGAAAGTACCAAATCTCGCGTCAAAGGAGCCTTGAATTTGAGGGCTCCTAGAAATTGGCGTCACCCTTGTCTTGTCTTGCTTTGCTTTTCAGTCTTCCTGGCGCCGCCGGGTTAACATCGATACCCAAACGTTGTATAAAAATATTTAGCGACCTACGATCGATCGAGAAGGCTACATGTTGATCAAATTAGAACGCTCTTTTGACGTTCTTGGGAAATTCTGGATTCACACTTTCCCACGTTAAGACATAGGAAGAAGAAGAAGAAGAAACATAAAGGAACCCACATATCCATAGGGAGTTACGTAAAAAGCTGGCCCGTGCAAAAACGGACGGCACTATATATAGGTTGACTCAAGAGAGTCTCTGCTGCTGTCAGGAGCGGACCCAGGGACATTCCTAAATTTTGAGAAAACGATTATTCAACTTTCGGTGGTAATTTGTGTGTGGACAAAAAAATATAATTGATAGTGATGAACATCCGAAAAAATGATTATCCTACTGTCATTTTTTTAATTTGCATATAGGAATATAAATAGTTGGTTGGGTAATTCAAATGTAGAACACTATTATTATTAATAAACTCAATTTTCATTGAGCTACAACTCATTTGTTGTTCGATTTTGAACACCGTGTAATAGTAAAATGCCATCCCCTATCTCTAATTATTTTCAAAACTTAACAATTAAACTAATTTCAAGATACCCTTAATTTTTATTGATTTTATGATTGTACGACAAGTGTTGAAAGAGTCTTTCAGCTTTGGGTTACATCAAGAACAAGTATACAAATCGAATATGCGATAAGTTGTCTAGTAGGGTATATAGAGATAATTTTTTAACACTATAGACACCAAGTGTGTTCTGCAATTATTTCCGAATATGAAAACACATCATGGACTTTTTTAACCTATACGAGTAATATATTTTCTTATTTACCATTTTATTTTTATTTTTATTAAATTTATTTTTTAAAAGAGGACACCCCTATAGAAAATTTATGGGTCCGCCACTAGTTGTTGCTTGATCCTTTGCGCCGGGGTTGCAACTATTTGGACTTTTTATTACCTTTTGCGTTGAATCATGATGAGATGTAAGGGATAAAAGTTAGGATTTTGCTACGGTGACATGCATGTCACCGTGACATGGACTTTTCGGTCGACCTAATCCAAAATGCGGTCGACCGAATTGACTAATTCATGTATGTGAGGTTCCGAAACGCGGTCGACCTCTTACATAATATGGTCGACCTCTTTGGTGGTCTAACAGAATGAAAGGTCGACCCTAATACCTCATAGGCCGACCCTTGTGCACCTAATAGGTCGACCGCATTATAAAGAGGTCGACCGCCTTCACATCGTATCCGTATTGGATACGGATTCCAACACCAGAAAGGTTCCACAATTGGACAAGGAAACGAATTGGGTCGACCCATTCACGTCCTAAATCTCTATAAATACGAATATAAGTCCCCTTCAACGCCACCAAGTCTGAATTAGGTTTTTTTTCGATTTAGAGCCTTTGTGAAGAAGATCGTTCGCGGTTGCTGTTGTACGTGTTGGAAGTGGTCGACCAGGTCTAAGGTGAGGTCGACCTAATGTAGCATTCGCCGTCATCTTTTCTAATGCATGATTTCCACCATCTAATTTGATATATTGTTGCGTGCAGAATACCATTCGGTCGACCTTGACATCAACCAGGACGACCTGACGAGACAATTCTTCGTATTTGAATTTAGGGCACAACACTTGGACTTCTGTACTTGCGAGGTAACGAAGATCAACCCAATTGGTCGACTTAATGTGTTTCAAGGTCGACCGTTTCTGTTTGTTTTGGTTATTCAACCTGAATGTCGACTTTGACTTTGTTTGTATGACTATGTTGTGCTTGAACAGGTCGACCGCGCCAGATATCTGGTCGACCTATCCTTTTTTCGGTTTAATATTGAACTTACTTTTTGTTGTTAATTGTTATTTTCCTGCTGGATAGGTCGACCTAGGAAGAACAGAGGTTGACCTTAATGGTTGTGGTAATCACTATTTGTCTTCCAGGTCGACCTAATAATTTGTCAGGTCGACCACGTCTTTGTTTTTTGGTCAATTGTAGAAATTTGTAGTTGAATTATGATTTGAATTTTTCTTTAAATTGTTTAGACGATGACGCATGATGAGAGACTGCATCAAGATTTGGGTGAAATCATGAAATTGTTGAAAGCCACACAAGAGAAGTTGGTGGTGTGTCAAACACAAGTCAATGACTTTCAGAAGTCCATGCGTGATAGAGTGGAGCAATTGTCAGTTCGACTGACAGATATGACTGGGATGATGCATGACGGGTTTGAGAGGCTAGAAGGTGCTATCAAAGATATAAGTGCAGAACGAATGGAGAATAGCGGAAGAGATGGTACAGGAAAGAAATTTGACTTTGGTAAAGAGGAGGAAGACCATGATGACTCTGAAAATTACTACCAGAGCATAGACGATTTATTGAAAGAGCACAATTTAAAGGTATCCAAGTATATTCATATGTGATTGAAGATATTAGTATTACTATCATTAGTGCTAATTTGTTTTGTTTATATGTTTGACAGAGTGAAACAACGAATGGCAGCAAGGGTTCCTCTCCAGGGGTTCGGTCGGTTCAGTTTCGACCGAACCGAAATTATGAATACCGGGTCCCCGAATTCTCCCAAACCCCAAACCGAATTCGAACCGAATTAAAATTCGGTTCGGTCGGTTTAAAACGAATTATAATTCTGTTCGGTTTTATACACAAAACCGAAATTGAGAGGCTATTTGTATCTTCTCATTTTTAAATTATTTTTCACCGTTAATATAAACAATAAATATGTAATTATATGCATCATCAATGATAAAATCAAACTTTTAAACACATAAGTAATAAAACATTTCAAATATTTAAGTCTAAAAACAAATACAAACATAAAAATCCACCATTTGAGCTTGCAATTACAGTATTTCGGTTTTTCGGTCGGAAATTCGGAAATTCGGTTCGGTTGAAAGAACCCTGATTTCCAAAATATCCATATTTTCCTTCCGAATTCCGAACCGAATAGCACTAGTAGGTTCCGGTTGGGTTTAATTCGGTTTCGGTTCGGTTCGGGTT